TATTTTTGTGTGTTTACCCAAACAAATTGCTCTTTAATTTACCACTTCAATCTTGTACTTTGAGGTGGCTTTGGAATGTATATATATGACTCATATTAAATGTTTGTTCATCAATATTATATAACACCCATGCCTACACCCTCCTCCTCCCCACATACCTCTGCATGGCTAAAAGCAGTTTTATGAGGCATAATATTGAACTAGAGTTTTAGCTTCAGCATTGGTTTTTGAAAAATCCTGAAACTGGAAGGCAGGAAAAGTAATAGTCCAAGGCCTCCAATCAGATTCCCCTAATCCTGGGCTGCATTGTACTCTGCATAGGAGGCCAGCCCTCCTGCTTTCCATCCTGGAGAAGCCCTGTTACCTACCCCCTCCACAGCCCTCAGGGCCCATCTGATCAGTATTACCACAGCAAAATATCCAGGCCAGAGCACTGCATGCTAATTTCCTGGGTGGCCAGTCTGTCTCTTTTCTTGTCTCAGTGTCATTTTGAGAAAAAAAATTCATCCAAAACACAGACAGAAGAGGAGAGCCCAGCTTCATTTGTTGTTAACGTGTCAGCATTCTGCTTTGTGGGATTTGACTCTTTGAGCACAGGCCATTGTCTCTCAGCCATAATCCCGGTTACTCTCTGGCATTTAACAGAGTCCGCCTTCAGTGACTCAGCCACGGTTTCCATAGACAGTAAACAGCCACTCACTGCCTTTTACACCATCAAGAAAATGAGATTACTCCGGGAGGAGATAGGCAGCTCTGGGCTGCTGTCGAAAGGGCGCTTTGACTGTGTGTTTGGCTGTGAGGCACCTCACAGCCTGAGCTTGTTTAAAATTAGCTTCCCCCATAAATCACTTGCACAATGAAATGACTGCCTCTGCCCTCTGACATAGTTGTGTCTCTGTTTATTTTTAATGATGACGTGGCTTTCTCTGTCTCCATTTGGCTTTTATCCTTTAAGTTCCTGAACACTAAATTCTGAGCCAAATGGGCAAAATCTAAGATATGGCAGGGAAAAAAGAACTTCCTTTTCATCCAGCACAGAAAGGTGGTAGGAAAGCTGAGTAAGCCCCTCTGTACTTTGACTGTATTATTATATCCTAAAAATATTCCTATCATAGCAATGATCCTATCCTCATAGAAATTTGAGCTACACACATGGATGCGTTTCAAAACTCAGTGAATGCCCATTACTTAAGATTCCTGCCTCACTATTTGTAATTTTTATCTAAAGAAGAAAAGGAAATGCAAACAAATATAAGATCTAATAATATGTATCAGGAAACATTGAGCAAGGGGTAGCCTAGTGTCCAAAACTGACTTTGCAATGCATCCATCTAATTGATGCAAAATGTTAGTGGTGGAACACAGGTATTAAGTATAAAGCTATTCCCTAAAGTTCCTTCACCTTGATGTACATGTGGAACTTTTTAGACAATAAACATGCTTGCAGTTTCTAGCTATTTAGTTGGGAGGACTAGAGGCCTGACATTTCTAAAGTAGTACAAAATCATAGCTGTATGCAATCCAATTTTTATTTTAAAAATCTATTTTTATAGAATTAACTTCAATAATTTATAATAATAGGAAAAACATAAACTTTGACACAGTAAAAAGTCCAAAATACAGAATATTCTTAGGGAAAAGTCAATTTTATTACTTAGACATGTAGGCACCTTCCTCAATTTAAATTTATATCTGTTAGGAAAAGTTCCTGGCATGAGTTTTCTAATCCATCATATAAAACACAAATAAAGAACAGTACAGGGCATGCATAGAAGTTCAAAGAGCTGAGAGTCAAGAGTGTCAAGGGTATAAAAGCCCACCTTCACTAAACCCATAGTTTAGTTTATTGTTAGAAATAGAAAATGTACTCAGCAAAGCCTGAATGGAGGTAAACACAGGAATATCCTTCCTTGTGAGTTACCTTTGCAAGGCAAGCACTGTTTTTGTTTTCTTATCACAATTTTTGATGGCACCGTCTTCCAGAAACCAACTGTAGAATAAACAAAGGATTTAATACATAATGTCATAATGTACTGCAAATTTGCACTGCTATGGCAAGAATACAGAGAAGAAAGTTGCATGGTAACCGAACACCGTAGGGGTGATGGTGTGCTTCCTCTCATTAAAAAGTTGGTTGGAGAGAAGCAGCCACCTTTTTATAACAGTGTTCAATTTCAGGAAACTAATTAGAGCTGGGACACTCTTCTAGAGGGCTGTGCAATTAACTTGCCTTCTTAAAAAGAGAGTGGGGGATCAGATCATAAATTAATCAACCATAATATCCAAAAGAAAGTGTTTCTCACAAACAGACTATGTATTCCTTTGTTGACAAACAGTAGCTCTCAGTAAGTTTCCTTTATAATCGATAAATGAACTAAAAATATTTCCATTGCAGCTTCAAGTTAGCAAGTTCCCAGAGGCCCAAAAACCTCTGCTTTCCTGTGTTCATGTGCTAACCCTGGCTCTCACCATCTTTCCTCCCCTCTTCCACAATGGTACCCAAGTCATGGATGGGTGAGGTTCAACATAGGGCCCATCCAGGGACATACACTCCATAGTCTCCTATTCTCCAAATCTAGGCCAGTTGAGACCCTCTGTCAACTGTGGAGACAGTATGCACAGGACAGCTCAATCAGACAAAAACTCAGCATGGAAATGAGAAAATGAGCAGGAGGCCCAAACCATAGTTGGGGGACTATTGGTGGCTGATTACTTCGGGGTGAGGGAGAGTGGATCTTCTTTGAGGGGTGACACTGGATGGGCTGATTGGACTCCAGTGGAGGAACTTGTATGGAGGGGTATCTGGGTGTAGGTGCTTGACTGGATGGGATGACTGGGTTCATGGGACCCAGTAAGGGGAGGGCTGTGGGGGGCATGGATGGGCAGGAAGGGGTCTGAATTGATTGGGGTCTGTTGTATGGAATACACAGAAATGTAATAAAATATTAAAAAATAAAAATATTTCTGAATACTTGGGTCTAAAAATATGCCTATGAAATAATCTGTAAAGAAGAGGTTAAGAAAAGTATATAAGAAAAAGAAAAATGGGTTGTTCTGACAAGATTTCAAAGTAGTGAAAGACTTTGTCCAAGGCAAGACAGTAGAAAGAACTAGAAGGCAGAGGCTCAGGCTTCTGCCTTCCTGTGCATGGGTGTGTGCACTTATACTCTCATCGGCATGCAGCACACACACACACACACACACACACACACACACAAATCATTAAAAAGTGTAAAAAGATTTCAAAGACTGTATGCCTAGATAGTGAGAAACAGTCAATATTGTTTGAACTTAGGATGTGGAGTAAATGCAAATTTGAGAAAGTCTCTAAAAGTACTGGTGGGAAAAAGCAAAGGCAGAGGAAGAAACAGGACACCAGTGCATGTACTTTTGAGGAGCTATCCAAAATATTGGAAAGGAAACACCAAAAATAATAAACAAACAAAGAAATAAATAACACCAGAGCGAACATCTTAGAGAACCTGCCAGGGAGTTCACAGCATTTCAGGGAAGCTGGTGAAAGGCAGCCAAATGCGGCTCTGTGCTCAGCCGTGTACAATGGGCTCAAAGGTTAAGAAAATGAAAAACTGGACGGTTTGGATTGCTCGACCAAAACCAAGAGTTAGAGTGAACTGGTGGGACCTGTACAATATGGACAACAAATTAGACATCGCTAGCTGGTGCTGGTATTTGGAGCTGTTAAAAAGTGAAGTATAACTACCTGAGATTCAAAATCCTCACCACTTTTTGAAGTTCATTTTTCTTAAAGTTCTTACATCCTCTGTAGTAAGAAACTAAGTGTTTCCCTTTGTTCTATTCAATTCACCCATTTCGTTTCTCTTTACAACAATTAATGGGGTGATGTCTTATTGGACACTTTAATACAAGACCTTAACCCAGACAAGCACAAAGTCCAATAGTGTGGGTAAACAATTTCAGTGTAACACATGACATATGATGCTAAAGCATGCAAGGAGGGGTTGTTAGGGATTGTTTTTGTGTTTCTCAATATTTCCTTGCATATTTATCATTTTCTTTGTTCCTTCTTCTGGCATCTCCTACTTCCCATCTGGGATCATTTTGTAATTTCTACTGGTAGCATCTGCTGATGCTAAACTGTCTCCATTGTTCTTGGCTCTAAAATGTCTTTATTTTACCTTCATTCTTTTAAAAAATATTTTATTTATTATTTTTATATCTATGTGTATGAGTGTATTGCCTGCAAGTATGTGAGGGCACCCGTGTTAGTGCAATGCCTCGGAGGTCAGATGAGAGCTTCGGATTCCCCTGGAACTGGAGTTCAGAATGGTTCGTAGCCACCATGTGGGTGCTGGGAATCGAACCCAGGTCCTCTGCAAGAGCAGTCAGTGCTCTTAACTGCTGAGCCATCTCTCCAGCCCCTTACCTTCATTCTTAAAAGATATTTTTTTCTGGGTTTGCAGTTGTAAGATAGGAGTTTTGTTTTGTTTTGTTTTGTTTTCCAGAAAATGTTAAAGTGGCTTTTTTTCCTGGTTTTGCTATAGCTGTTGAAGTTGGTAATGCTCTTCACATGAAGGGAGCGTCTCTAGCTCCTAAATTTTTCTCTTTCTATTTTTTTCACAATGGTTATAGTGTATCTAGAAGATCTTTTAATTCCTACTTGAGATTTGTTTTGTTTTTGGAATGTGTGGATTAGTGTCTTTCATTATTTCTGAAGGTATTTGAGCCCTGATCACTTCAAACATTGTACATATTTCATTCTCTGTCTTTTTCGGTTCTGATATTCCCATTAACCACACATTAGGATTTCTGTATACACCTTCTACAGTTCTTAATACACTAGCCTGTGAACATATATAGGTATGGAAAACAAACCGTATCTAATCAAAATAAATTTGAAGCATAAATTCTTTGGTTTCAACAGTCATGTTTCAAGTACTCGGCTCATTAATGAACATAGTGGTTGCTGTATTGGAATGTTACTAAATATTTTTTACGTTGCATACACTTCTCTTTTTTCCCTCTGTGTTCCTCCATTCAGTCTTGGCTATTGCAATCAGAAAGACAGAAAGCACGAGGAAGCTCTTTTCTTGCATCTTTAATGGAAATCTAGAAGCAGACAGTAACTGCTTCGGGTCTGTCAAACAGATGCATGTCACGTAGACGTCGGTTACATAATGGTAGTTGGGATTTGTCTCTTTTCTTCTGTATTTCATGCCTATTTCTTTTCCTTTATTTTACATAGACTTCTGATCTATCTTCTAATGGATCTCAATCGATTCTTCCTTTCTTTTAAACTTAGCCAGTCACCTACTTAACTTCAATTCTAGATTGTATATTTTATTCTTTCTTGAATTTTCAATATCATTTTTTGGGTTTCTGGTTCCATGAAAATGCTTTAATTGTAACATTTATTTCATTAAAATATACTGAGGAAAGGTGGATAGTGTCTTGTAATCGTTGGGTACTGTTTCTTGACTGTGTTTTCTGTGCTGGTTTTCCTCTTCTAATTCATCTGTCCTTGTTTCTTGGTGTCTCTGATTGTGTAGTGGGCATTGCTTTCGGAAACTGACCTTTGGTCATAATTTGAGACTTGATTAAAGTTTACTTCTTATTAGTGAATATTTCCATTTTCATTGCCTAGAATCCTAAGCACAGTATTTTTGGCCATTTCAAGCCAGTTTAATGTTTGATATTTTTCTGGACTATAAAATTATTCAGCACTCTAACCCTTGCTACCAGATCATCACCCCAAGCATTTCAGCCTGCAGTGATTACAAGCAGGAAACAAATTGGAACCCTTAAATAAATCTACATTCAGATTTCTGTCCCTTTGACCACCTGAACTGTTAGTTTTCACTCTAAATTGACACTTGACAGTGGAAAAAATAGCCCTGTCTACTGGACCTCTGGATTTCTGAGCTCTTACAGATCACTACCCAGTAATGATTCATTATTTTGTTAATTAATTGAGCTTTATTTAAACTTTATGCAGCTGCTTTACTTTTTTTCAGGAAAAACTCAACCAAATGACTTAGTCTATCATTACTGGAAGTGAAATTATCCATCATTGTTCAAAGTCTGTAACACAGTGGCAAGTGGTAATCAATACTAGAACTCTTAGCAATGCTTCTCCAATTTAACTGAGAAGTTTCATATAACCGTGATTCCTTGTGTTTCACAAGATTTTCCAAAGACCATTTCCACCTAGTACAGGTCTATTAAAGATTTTAAAATTCCTTCCTTCATTCATGGAGGCTTCATGCCATTGCTGGTGCTTTCTATAACCAAAACTGTGCTGGGCACTAGAGCTAGACATGAGATAGACACTCAGATTGGAAAAAAAGAGATGAGAAGAGCCTACTGGCTAAGAAATAAAACAATTCCCCACAGTAACACTGAAAGGAAGAAGTGAACATGAACGTACTGTAAGGTCGAGAGGGAGAACAATGAGGTGTCGCTGTGGCAGGCCATGATTATATTATCAACAAGGGCTATGTTTAATATTAAGTCTTATGAATTAGAAAAAAATATGAGCCAAATGGATAAGAATCACCTTGGAAAATCCCCAGGGCTTAGCAGCAAGTGGATTGGGAAGGAACAGAGTACAGGATCAGCAGAATCCTCCACAGAATCTGGAATCAGTGTCATCACTGGGCTTTGTGGTTCTCAAACAGGCATTTTGGGTTATTAAACCTCATCCATACAGAAGGATCCAGGTAGTAACGTAAAGAATTTTCTGTAGATGCATAACCCTGTTGATCATCATTTAGGGAGGACTAAGGCAGACGGACGGACAGTATGGTGCTAACAATCACACAACTACGGAGAGCTAGTCTTGAGTTTGCAATCAATTCATTTGCACTAGTGAGAAAGTTTCACAACCTGAGACTCAATCTGCTTATGAGAATGACAGTGCAGTCCTATATGATGTATATGGTCTTTTCAACTTTTATGTTTGTATTTATGTGAAAGTGAGAGCATAAAAAGGCCAGGATACTAGAAAGGGGTGTCATCAGAAGAGAAATAAAAGCCTTAGGGGAGAAGAATGGGGAGGATAACAGATTAAATGTGACTTGAAAGTGGAAAGAGGGAAACTGACAGTGGAAGCTTGTAAGTTTGGACAGGGAACAAGGGGCCATGGGGGAAGAGGAGCAGGAGGGAGGCCAAAACGGAAGCAGGCATGAAAATGCTATAAGGAAGCTGCTGCTTTGTGAGGTGATCTCCTCAAAACTCTTAAAGCCTTCATGGTGACTTTTGTTTTTCATGTTCATTTGATTTTAATGATGTATATTTCTAATGTGTATGCAAGTGCCCTTGAAATCTAGAAAAGGGTACTGGATCCCATAAGGCTAAATTTCTCTAGGTATTTTAATATGATCTATTGGTTGCTTAGGAATTTATCCAAATTCCAAACATTATATTCTCAATGTGATTTAAAAGTATTGCCATCTGTTGATGAACTCTAAACTATTTAGTGTTTACAAAAAAAAAAAAACCCTATAATAAATATACAGGTAGAGGTCTTGTCAGGTTTGGTGGGGAAATTTCTCTCTTAAAAGTACTAGTATAACAGTACAGGTATAATGCATCAAAATTTATGGGATGAAAATAAGCATGGAAATTCATAACCTTAATGCATATACTTGAATACAAAAAATAAATTAAAAGCATAAACACCAAGTTCAAAGATTTTAAAAGTAGACCAAATCCCACCCAAAATATACAGAAACTGCTAATAACAAAGATGCAGATAAAATAGAATGAAAAATATCAGTAGACAGAAGCACTTAAAATTTTAAGGTCGGCAATCAATAAGTGGGACCTCATTAAACTAAAAAGCGTCTGTACAGCAAAAGAAACACTCAAAAAAGGGAAACGAAAACCCAAAGAATGAGAAGAAGTCTTCACCAGTGACACATGTGGCAGAGATTTGACATCCAGAATACATAAAGAACTCACAAAACAAAGAATCGAGAAACCAAATGACCCAATTAAAAGATGGGCTAAAGACCTAAACAGAGAAAAGAATAAATAAATAATAAATAAAT